AGGATGGCTGGTCATAATTCTCTTGTCGATGATGACAAACGTTTATTAGCAATGCTAACCACCGCGCGACACCTTGCACGCTCGCATACCGCACAGGTTACTCGTCTGAAAATATTTCTTCCAACAAGCGTACACCTTGCATTACCACCTAATTATCAATTCTCCATTCCCCGTATTCGATCATTTTAACGATAAAGACAGGCAAGTTTGAAGTTTTCTAAAAGACTTTTTTTCTAACCACCGTCGAACGGAATTTCGCGAAGAAAGAAACGCTTCCTTTTTCCACATCCCCCCCCCCCCCCCGATACTTCTGTCGAGAAACAATGCCAGACTCTTTTACAATACACTAGAATCGCTGAAACAAGCGGCCTTAGGGAATCTACATCGGCCCTTCTGTTCCTTCTCCTTGTCTACCTCTCGCCAGCCTGTGTCGAGACAATGCCAGCTATTTTCCGCCGAGACAACGAACGAGATCGTTCCCTTGCAAGAGCAAAGTCGAAGTTTTACTACGAATCGAGCCAGGTATCGATTTAGTCAGCGACAGAGTAAAAAGTAGCGAGACTCTATTTAGGAATGACTAGGAACATCTTCATATTTGCAGGCCTAGTACTTTGGGAGCTTACTACTAACAAAGGTACACCTTTGTACTCGGGGGCTTTGATACTAGATACAAAGAGGAACATTAGCAGCAAAGTATTAAGGCATTTAATTAACCCCCTCGGAAAGCTCGGCACTCGCTGTGTTCTAAGTGGCGCAAGTATAAATAGGGTTAAAAGAGGAAAAAGTCTGGTTAAGTATGCGCATTCTTGTTTCTCCTTTTACACAAACTGTCCACGCGTTGAGCCTTTAAAAACAGACAGACGCGAATTGAACCGACTTGAACCACCTATTTAGACCGTGTTACATAAGCTGGCTAAAGATACGAGCTCGCGGGATACCAACGTAGCTCTAAATCGTTCGCGAAACCGGATCAAAATACGCGGGAAACTCTGGTGAAAGCTCGACCTCTTAACCCCATCTGGTCTCAATTTGTCCTCGAAACTAAAGCAATTTAAAACCATCAAGAAAATAAATTTTAATAAATTCCATTCCCCTATTTCTTGTCGACTTCTGCATCCCATTTGGACCAGTTTAACAGGTTTACCACTGTTCAACTTACTTTGGGGTCTAAATAGGCAAACATCTGTTGACGTTACAGAGGCTCGTGTTATAATACATACAAAAGTATATTTTTTGGAAATCAATCGAGCTCCTGTGTGTGTCTTGCGGTAAGAAGAAACTTCTGGTGTTATCCTTGATCCTATGTTAACGACCCATTCATCTGTTATTATGTTAATGTCCGCTATTCCTACGGTGCCGTCGCGTGTTCGTTGCCAGGGGTCAGTATTAATAATTTATACGATACATATTCCTGGAAAATGTCCTACGGTTCTGCAATATCGCATACGATCCAAGGAACACGTGTTTCTATACAACAACCGCTTGTTCCTTCTTATTTCTTTCCATTCTTGCCCCCGTTTAATCCAATAATAGCCGCCACGTTTATTTTAGACGGCTAAGAGACAAGTCTACCGTGTCTGTTACACACAGCTCTACCTGGCTTCTGCCTGCTTTACGTGTCTCGAGACTCGATCGAAAGATCAGTTCATCCAAAACGAGATTCGACATCTTCCACTCGCATTAATACTTAACGAGTACTAATTAGCTGAGAAGCTGATACTACTAATTTGCAGTGGTATCCAATATATTTTTATCGCAATTTTCACTGAAATCGTTACACGCACAGATGTATTCATTCAACGTTTTGAAAAAAAAAAGAAAAAAAAAGATGAGAAATTGTTTAAACAGCTCCGGTCTCGCCGGAAGCGTACATGCGTCAATCTCCTTTCGTCCTATTTTTCCGACGACCTACATCACGACTACGGGCTACGAAGCCGAGCACGAAGAAAGGAAACGGAGGTTCGGCTATTTTTTTCTGGCAACGAACGGCCTTGCAACGTCCTTGGAAACTTGATTCGCGATGCAAAACGATGAGCATATCGACAGAGAAGACGATGACGCGGTAGAAAGCGTTTCGTGCCTTCTTGATTCGTCTTCTCGTCGTGGCTGGCCTCAACGCGGCCTTCGCAGAGCTACTTTTTCAATTTGCCTACTTTATTCTACTCCATTACGCTAGAGACCACCGACGCACCCGGTGCGTCTTCCAATATTCGCACCGACAGATCAAAAGAAGGATGCGACCCGCGGGAGCTCGAATCTGCCCGACTTTATCCGATCTGACCCGAAATAGTCGGGCTACCTGAGCGCAGGCATGTATACCCGCGCGAACTGGCCCGATTTTTTTCGAGCCCGTAATATCGGGTACCCGCATATCCCTACCGAGTACGTTAAAGAGCGTTTCGTGCCTTCTTGATTCGTCTTCTCGTCGTGGCTGGCCTCAACGCGGCCTTCGCAGAGCTACTTTTTCAATTTGCCTACTTTATTCTACTCCATTACGCTAGAGACCACCGACGCACCAGGTGCGTCTTCCAATATTCGCACCGATAGATCAAAAGAAGGATGCGACCCGCGGGAGCTCGAATCTGCCCGACTTTATCCGATCTGACCCGAAATAGTCGGGCTACCTGAGCGCAGGCATGTATACCCGCGCGAACTGGCCCGATTTTTTTCGAGCCCGTAATATCGGGTACCCGCATATCCCTACCGAGTACGTTAAAGAGGCATAGAAGAAAATCGGTAGCTCGAGCCTGGAAAGGTACGATAAGATAGAGACAAGCGTGAATTACCGAGGACTCGGCTCGGCTCTCACGAGAAAACGACGAGTCTCGTTACGAGCTGGACGTTATTATCATACCCAAGCGGAATACCAGTCCCCTCTACACGTTCCAGTTCCTTTCTTCGCCAGGTATTCAGCGAACGGTCCCGGTAAAGTGACCTCTCAAGGCCGTCGGCCGAGCAAGAAGAGAAGAGAGGAGAAGAGAGGAGAAGCGAGGACGAGGGAATTACCCCTTTCGCTCAGGTCACGAGCCGCATGTTTCATCTAGCCTCCGCTACCGAACTCCACTGAACTCCACTGAACTGAACTGAACCGAACGGAAAATCAACCTGCTCGTTGGTCACCAGCTCGTCGAATACGAGAAGCTTGATTGTTTTAATGAGCTCGAATCAGAGAAAAAAAATGTTCAACAGCGGAGAAATTCGTGGAAAATAATGGGGACTGGATTGGAAATCAAAGTTGGGTCGAGTGTTTTAGTATTTCAGAGCTTGGTACATGGTAGCCTGGTATTTGTAAGTTTAATACTTGGTACCCTAGTAAGAATGCAGATTTTTTTTTCTTCTTCGAGACACCCCGTGTATTTTCACCATTATACCATTCCATTCAATTCCAGCGAGATTCTTATTTCCGCTGGTTGGATCGCGGGGTCGTTTCCTTTCGCCCTGATTTCCGTATCCTGAATCGATCGTTGGGTCAGGTTGGCCGACTAGTGGTAAATTCTCGAGCACTAGTCGGGAAACGGAAATGGCCACGTGAAACGATCTCGGTTTTTATCTCGGCCAGCAAGGTTAACAACGCGACTGTTGATGCGTGAATAAACAAACGATTCCAGGAACGATGATTAAACGCCGGTTCTTTTTAACTCGAGACTCTTCCTACGTTGATTCTATGCCTCCAATTAGGCTGTAATTAATTTCGTAATGTAGGCCAGCGACCCAGAAAGCATCGTTTTTACTCGTATCGCGGTGCGGTAATAACTCGGCTGAAAATCTTGCTTGGTTACCTTGCAAATGATTTACAATTCCAATTAAACGTAATGAAAATTTATTTTCGCAAAATATTTTAGTTTCAGTTTCAGTTTGATATGCACGAAAGGCGAGACGATCGATCAATTTTTATCGAGAATAAGATTCGCGAGCGATCGAAGTTGGACGATAAAAATAAGCATTCGCGAAGACACGTTCGATAAAAAGGTGCGTCACACGTGAGCAACGTGCAAACTCTGGCGATGGAATTCACGGCTATTTAAACGAGTGATTCATCGACAAGCATAACTTCGATCTCTACAACGAGCACTTTTCGTTTACACCTTCGGGATATGAATGAATTCACAGCGCGTGGGCTTTTCACACGCTTAACCTTTCATCCGTGCTTCTCGTACCAGCAGATCTCTCTCATCTTCCGCGTGATTTGCATTCCTCTCGACGATACCGCTTCGAAACTTACCGCGAAAGCACATTACCGCGAAAAGTATGCCGTCAACCGAAGGTTAATTTCAGGGTCGCGAATATCAGACGCCCCCGTTTCTAAAACCGCAATTTATGCAAAATTCGCGATCGCTAATGACCCCGATAAAAACGAACGCGTTAACGCAGGAAACAGGAGATCCCTCGAATCAATCGGATCGTAGGCGTGAGAAATGATGCTAATGATCGCCGTTGGTCCGGCAAGGCCGAGGACGCGAGTAGGGTAATTGGACGGCATCCAACAGCCTTAACGAAAAGATTCTTTTATTAAAGAGAAAAGTCGAGCTTCGCGTCTGGCGATGCTCCAGAAATTATGAATCTCCGGTAAAAGAAAGACAAACAAGCACCGACTAAATGATGCACCGAAGTATTCTCGATGTCTCTGATTCTGTTTCTCACTCGCATCGGACGATGACTTCGGACTTTTAAGGCTTCGTTTTAATAGGACGACAAACCTTTGTGCCGGTTCTTCAACTCGCTCTCTTTTTACCTGGCGCTCGTTCGGGTCACGAGGCTACCGTCGCCTTTCCATCGAGAATATTCGAGTCGATGATTCTCGTTGACCTTTGACTTAGCTAAATCTCAATAACCGGTGCCGGGTATTCGTCACCTTTACATGGAAACTGATAAATCTTCCCGGAATCTTGAATTTCGCGAATCGACGATAAGAGAATTAATCAGTTAAGACGCGTCTGTTAAAGGCCGTAAGGACTTTTTCGAACCGTCAGGTAAAAGGATAATAAAACAATAATTCATACCATTTTGCCAACTTGACAGCCACTCTATGAACGGTCAGGAAGTCCCTTTCCCTCTCTGCCAAAAACACGTCGAATTCCCTTTTTGGGGAAAGCGTTTTACGGTTAAAAAGTATTCCGCTTACAAGCACTCTTGTTCGAACCGTCTTGTAGACAAGTCGCGCGCACAATAAAGTTTCTCATTTAGACGCAGTATTGGCTATTTTCATTCCTACTGATTTCCCTCACACGATCACCACACATCTAAGAATAACAAAGGGTTAACTGAATGCTAGAAACGACAATGACCCCGATCTATCGATAAACTTATGTAATCGATGATGAAAACACGATCACATCCGCGTGGAGCCGTTGACGTCAAACGGATGATGCTAAAAATTGCGATTGTAAATAACTGTACAGGCAAGATTGCTAAGATGATGACATCACGTTGACGAGGTATATGTTTCAACTGATTTTTCCTTATCAATTGATGTTTGTTGAAGATTTCACGGGTTTCGACAAATTTTGAGTCATCTCTAATAACTAAGGAACTTGTTGACTCGTTAAATGGTTCACTTTTCAAATACATAAGCATTTTTCTGAATCAGGAAACAGCTTATCGCTTCCATCGATACAACGGAAGCCACGAAAGCGAACGATTCTCTGATTACTTCCTCTTTTATCTCCGCAAATGTGCATTACGAAAGACAGGGTGATTTCTCCGCGGAAATATTTGCATTCCGGGACAATAATGGTCGGTGCTCGAACGTGAAACGTAATTCATGTAAAAATGGCAGACGACGCGGCGAAACACGGAAACCGATCGACACACTTTTTTACCATCGTCGAACGATTTACGATGGTTGGTTGAACCATCACGCAGCACGGTTTAAATGCGACAGTTTTATCGACCCGTGTGCAATTCGCGAGGGAAAAAAAAAGAAATTTTCTTCTGTTTCCTTTGAAATGATCACCGCGTTCCCGTTCTTTGTACTCGCATCGTCGACCACTCTACTACTCCATTAACCTAAAAATATTGTACGAATCTACAGCAAACTCGAATAACTAATATCACTAACGATAAGTGTAACGAACGCGGCCGTGTTTCCGCGTGGCATCGATACAGCGGAATCGATCAACCCCGTTAACGAACGAGAACAAAAGTTTCCCTTTTCAACCGATCTTTTCTACCGTAAGCCAGATCGATCGAAATTAAACTGCATCGAATGAACGTCTGTGTAAGTTTCGTTTTGTATCTTGATTCTCTCTATAAATACGTTCACCCTGACTCTGTCCGTTCGTTTTCGATCTTTGATTCGTGACGCCATGGTAGGATATTTTCGTGCAAGAATGCTCGGTTACCCATACGTAATGCGTAAAGTTATTAATTTTCGGTGAAATAAACTGGAGGATTACTTCAGTCGAAAAACATCTGAAGCGTCTATTTCTCGCGTTGCAAATAAATGTTTATACAAGTCTATGTATCTGGCATAGATCGTAAAACGGCCTAAGTACAGAGATAAAAAAAATACGGTATGATCGATTAAAATCAGTTTTACACATTCTGTTTTCAATTTTTCTTTTTTTCTTTATAAACACCATCGCTGGTTTCCTTCGCTATTACACCGATAAATCATGCATTTCTCGTTGGAAATGACACACTAAACTACAGGTACCTTGTTTACACCTAGAAACAGTGATTCAAAACACGATAAGTTTGGCTTTCTGTGATTTCACTCCAATGTGTAAGTTATTGCCTCGATTAAATCAACACGCATGAGAATAAAAATGTTTAGTTTTCTAAAATTTATATATTCCAATATTACATCATTCATTTCAGCGCGAACTTGTTCGTTAGGTGCAATTAAAGTGTCTAGTTCCCAATTACTTAACAAGACCCACAGGGTGCGTTAGTGATTTTTTATGGAGTAGCTTAAGGCGGTGCGTCGTTGATCGCGAATTCATTCCAATACAAAACATTTACGCAAAATTCTAATTTTAACCAGATTCTTACGTTTCAAACATTACAAAAGCTTCGCGCGAAAAGGGAAATAAATGAAGTCGAATCAAACTTGTTTTCACGGAAACGAAAACAAGTGTGTTTTGGTGGTACGCGTTCGCAGTCGCTGACGTAGTGCTACTAGCCAAGTTTTATTTTAGAAATTCATAATTTCTTACATTAACACCTTCGATTAGATTGCTCGTTATTAGATAACGAATTATTCAATAAATACAATTTTTACCTCAACTTAGTACCGGAGTGAAATAAAAGAAAACGCAACTTATCTAGCAACTAATCGTAGGCAATAAGTTTACGTTTGATTTTCACTTTTTGCCGCGAAACTCTAATAACGGAACGTGTTAGTCGGGAGTTTTAGTTTTGGTGGTTTTATAGGAAGAAATTACTAGCCACCAAAGTGTGAACTACCTAGAATTAATTTTGGCCAGTCAGCCAACTTCTGAGCGCCACCTGTACTGTTATTTTACACCATTTCCCCGCCCTTAATTTATTTACGATGCGCCTTTTGGCCACTTTTCAATGACCGATAGTCGAGATCACGCTCGACCAATCGCGTTCCACCGTCGCCGGAAGCTGTTCCCATCCGCGACATCCGCGACATCCACGACGCGCATGGTGCGTCTTCTAAGGAGTTCGAAGTAAAATCTACCCCAGGGATCAAAATCTAACGATCGCTTTTGATCGACGAGACTGAAACTTTAACGGACAAGCGTCATACACGTATACGTGCAAAGACTGCAAGTAAGCGAGGAAACGAGTTAGGAAGAGACTATGTTGACATCACTGACTGATCACCATTCGACTGCACGTATAATGTTTCACAACATAACGCCGCAATATGCTACGAGCATCAGCACGAGCGTTTACGCTTCGAAAATAGACGCGTTGACTTTTTAACCGGCCAATTGTAGATGCTAACTGTACTCGGAAAGTTTCAGCTTCCGAGGACAAGTATCATGCAACGCTAACCCTTTTAAATTCGTGACACGATTAATCCTTTAAGTAAACATTGAGCATTCTGTGATTTCAATTTGACAGTGTCGCGCATGCGCACCGGTCGAACAATTAAATGTGCTAAAATATGATATTAAGGGAAACGTGATATAAATTCTATAGAAAAATTCGGACGAGTTCAATTCCCTCGGACGATCGTTACGGGGAAGTAAGTGCAGCCAGACAGAACGTTCAACTAACCGTAGATAATGTGCTAAGGTCCCATGCGCTCTTGGCCTGCTTTTGATAGCCCTTCTTGTTCCTTTTACCGGGTCTGCGCAGACTGGAGAACCATCCTGCGGCTATGGCGATGGCGCTCACGTCGCGACGGTTATCCGTCTGAACGTTGCTACCGTGAACTTCATCGAGAGCGTCCACTGACCTGCCGGTGAAAATCATCATTGGCGCCAAACTGCGTCGCCAAACTCCAGAAATCAACCAATCAATTCGTTACAAGCTTCGCTTCCTTCTTTCGAGCTCCGTATCAGTGATACGCCTTCAGGAGCAACCTAACCACACTTTATGACAGCACGCGTTGCACGCTGCACGGATAAAACGCATCAGTCCCGAGGATGACATTGACGTTCAATTCTTTCGCGAACAATCACTTACGTCACGAGTAACCGAACCTCTTTGTCGGATAATATTATCAACGCTTCAGATCAAAGATCCCACCGGTTCAACGACCTCGAACCAAAGAAGCGAGTATTCTTCGATCGATCCACGATCGATGCGTATCACTAATCGATATCGAACACTACGCAACAGATGAACGCACCAAAAAATAACAGTCGATTCTTTCTATGCAGATGACTGTCGATAACGACACTTTAATTATCAGTTTCGATGAAAAATTTTCATTAATCAACACTGATAAACTTTTATTACAAACAACAGTCAACAACAATCACACGTCGGGCGATGCGTTTTATACAATGTTCGATGGCTCGTTAGCGATAACAATGAAATATTGATCGCGATTTCTACGAAGAATAGGTAGATCTATTGACGAGAGAGTTTAACAACGAACCACCTCCCGCGACGGCCGACGTGCAACTACACTACTTTGAGTAAACGGTCGCGTTGGAAACGCGCTGGCGCCTCGCGGTGGACGTGACGTGAACTTAGCCACGCGTATGCGAATATAAGCCGATTTTCACAACTGGGACAGACTATAGTGGAAATGGCGAATCTTTTTCTGCTCACGTGCCAAATAATGACAAATATGTACACAAGTAATTGTGCAATAATCAAATAATAACAACGACAAAATAGTAACAAAGTGTTCAAGTGATTGCTGATGCTTGCGCGGAATCGCAAGCGCAATCATCGACCCGCTTTGACCAATATTTATCAATTTCAATAATAAGAATATCAACATAAACGCTTGATTAAAAAACCTATCGAGATTTTTTGCTGTTGTATATTCGATACGCTCTTCTATTTAAATTACAGAAGGAAAAGGAATTTCTCATTAAAAATGCGTTTTTCCTTTTGGTGCGGCGGAAATGAAGTATGAAAGTGCTTCACGTTTGCGTTGGCTCCCGTACGAGGTCAAACTGATTCTACTAGTGACTTTTTACGAACCGAGTACGTACGAATTCACAAAGTATGAATATCCGAGAAGCTTTAAATTGCATCGTAACATTTTTTTGCTCGGCCACTTCGAACAAATAATTTCAGTAATTTTATTTGGAAACTCGGCGACACGTTTAATACACCCACATAAAGGAGTAGCCTCGTTTTGAAGCCCAAGAAGGATCAATAACTGAAAAACAGTAGAAATTTTCCTACCTCGCGCTATTTTTCAACGTAATTACAACTTCTTTCCAACGGGAAATGAAATTTAACCAACAGAGAAGAGGAGTTTGGTGTATTTATCGGTGTTACCGGCTGCTATGATCGGTTAAAATTGCAACTTGCCTTTACGGATTGGATTCGTACACATCGTTATGGGCAAGCGAGCACTCGGTGGCGCATACTTGGCGAGGATCGTGAAGGGAATGCTTCCGAGAACGGAGCACGCTGAAATTTCGCCGACTGCTTATCAATTGCTGGCGGTCGAGTGTCGGCTAAGGGCGTTGACAGACCCCACCATTCAACGTTTTTTACCTTTTCCTCGAGACTTCTTCAAATACAGGTGGTGTGAGCAACGTATAACACCGAACACGTTTTTACTCACAGGATTTCGCTCTAACGCGATTACAAAATTGCACTGTAACAATTTATTTTCAAAAAATACCGAGAATTGAATTCAAGTTTTCTGCGTTTCCGTCAATTGCCGATTTCTTTACGTCTTTACTCCCACGATTCCTTTTATTGTTACGTCTAGAAGTCTCGAACTCCCACTCCCAAAAATCTTTTTTTATCATTATTTCTTTGCTCGAACAATAAAAAATTGTGTTTTTGTTCATTTCTAGGACACAACACTTTTTTATAATCTTTCGGTTCACGGGTCAACGGATATTCGCGAACCACCCATAAATTATTGAATACGCGTGGACGCCGATAATTAAATAGCCCAAAGCGAGTGCAACGAACACCGTTATCGTATCTTTGCAATATTTAGGAATGAAACACAGCTTGCCGATTATTCACGACGTATTCGTGGGAAACTGAATAGAAATTACAATGTAAACTCCAAAATCACGTACATATTTTATCTTTTGTGAATAACAGCGTCACGCTTTCAAATGGTCGATAAATTGTAGAGATGAATAGGAATCGTTGACCAAATCGAATTTCGGGCTTAATGATTTACAAGAGAAGGGTAGTTTTGTCTGCCCATCTATCAGCCGACAAATTTCTTCTGATCACGAATTACCAAAAGACTCGAGGATTCGCAAGAACACGCGTTTTTCAACGATACTCGCGGTTCGTTTTAAGC